CATACACACAACCCTCCCAGAAACTGCAGATTTAAAAAAAAAAAAAAAAAAAAAGAGTTGTATTTAGGAACTGCTTCAAATTGAAATGCTATAATAACCCTCCAAAGAAGCAGACTGAAGATAAATTATGCAACTGTAGCTGATTTAAATCAGATTTTGAGGGAACTAGGGAACTCTCCAGAACAGGTATTTGCTCTGCAGTCCTTCATGTTAATTAAAGCAGAACAGAAGGTCATCATAAAAGCTGCCATATTATAAAAAGCAAAATAATAAAGCCCTAAGAAAAAAATTGGTTATTTCTAAATGGAAAATAATGGGAAGCAGAGCCTTCTGCCCGTGTTAACTAGTTCATGCAGAAATGTTAATCACTATTATTGTATTGACATAAGTGGTGATGAGGTGATTTATAACATCTGTGCATCTGGCTGTGTGGATATATATATATTTGACCAGAACTGATGATACCAGCAGACACACTAAACAAATGGAATTCCAGTTATAAAGCACAGATCAAGGATGTGCAGACATCCAAGAAATGTGAGCAAAGGAGCTACTAAGAAAAGTATGTGATTTGAATGGGCCATTAGTAAAAATAAATACATCAACAAATGTGATACAGTCGAACTAGCTACAGAATAAAACACAGAAATGTGAAAGTGAGTCAAACAGTACAAGTCTGGCAAGTGTCACAGTGAGTCTGGTGAAGCAAACTCAACCTTGATTCACAGAACCTTACATATATTTACATATGTTTAAATAAAAATAAATTCTTACATATGGGCAAACTTAAGCATGAACAGAAATTTCATTTACTTCATTAGAAGTTATAGAAGGTTGAATACATTATATATTGTCTTTTCCAACTAAGGAATTTCTTTCAAAATTGGGCCCCTCTCTTCTGAGTAAGGCCCTTCCATTAACAAACACTAATTAAAAATTCTATACATATTATAATTTCAGGAAGATTGAATTTTAGAATTCTTGTTGACAAGAATTTGACTTGATAATACACATGTGTGGTAGTTTGGGGGGTGGAAGATGAAACAGTAAGGAAATGTCAGGAAACATGAACCAGCACTTCCTAATCATGAAATAATATGGTAAATCAGCTATTTTTAGGAAGTGATAAAAATCTCAGTGCTTTGGACTGCAGAAGCAGAAACCTAGAACACATGCTTTTGTCGATTATCTCATGGTTTACCTTGTATTTATAAGGCAAAATGACCCAAAAGCCATAAAGACATCTTTCACTTTTACCATTTCACAATGGCAAATTATGAAACACAAAGCTTCCTCATTGCGCCCATTTAGATCATTAAGTCAGGGACAAAGTCAGAACAGACAAGATCATTTTAAAGCACAGGGCTCAATTTAGTGGTTCGCAGGTCTTTGTGTATCTATTTCAGCTCTGGTACCACAGGGACCAGAAGCCTGCAATCAGTTCACAGAGCTTTGTGGGCTTGATGACAGCAGGTCGCTGGTTTTGCACCCCTTCACCACCGAGAAGCACCTCAGACACTTTGTGGGAGCAGTTTAACACAAGGCACAAGTTACAGACTTCCATCTTAAAGGCAGGAGCTCCACATCTACAGCTGAATAATAGACGAGCGTGGCAGTTGTGCTGGCTCAGCTGCTGCCCGTGTTGCAGAGCAGATGTTCCAAAGCAGGTGTCAGCCGGCACTTATGGGTGGCAACCACCAAAGCCCTCCCAAAGCAGCGCTTCCACTCGAGTTAAAGCCTCAAAGGACACATGAAATAACCTTGTTAATTTGATGCTTGATAATGCAAACATCTTAAAAATCCCACTCCAAATTGTATGTCACTCCCTGGCACAGAGCCAGGAGTTCTCATCCAATTTCAGCATATTAAGCTTTTAATGGGGTTTTTTTAGAGAAGCGTCTGCGAACATTTGGTGCTACCAGTCCAATGCTTAATCACACTTTCTTAGAAGGAAATCGCAGTGATGTTTAAACGTACGAATTAACTGCACCTGACACAGCCTTTTTCTCCTTACACTATCTACCCTGCAGAGAGCATCCACAACAACCCCAGCAGGGCGAGAGCTCCTACAGAAAGGCTGTAACGCCGTGCCGGCTCACCCCACTGCCCGTCCCAGGCGGCGAGACCCCGACACCCATCTCCGCCACC